GACCTCAATCCGTTGCATGATGTCATCAATGAAACACATTACAAAGAGAAGTATTATAAAAACTTGATTCCTCTTGGTGTCAAGTACTCTGAGGTATGTTGACTTTCAGCTTCTTTAAGTTGTGTTTGTTACATTGGACTGGACAAGCTTTCTAGGTCTTTTTTTTATCAGGAGGGCATTTTCGTCTTTTGCACATAGGAGAGATAGAGTGAGTCTCTGTCTCACTTTTTTAGGTAGGACAAAAAATTACACTTTATGTCCCATCGACATGAGTACCATGCCAATGCATGTGAAATGCAGTACAACCTGTTTTGTCTCCGTAACAAATGGGCCCTTAAAATTATTAGATTACATGCAGCTTTTGCCATGGGGAGGAAAACTCACTAGTGAATCGTTGAAATTCTTTTCACCAATTGTGATATGGACAAAGTTTTCTTCAAGCCAAGAAAACCACAATATATTGTTTTCCGCTTTCAAAGATTACTACAAGGTACCCACTGTGTGTGTGTGTGTTTTATCCCATAGTGTAAATAATGAGAACCACAATATTTTGTTTATTATTGTTTTCTTGAGTTTTTAATTTGTTATAATGAATTGTCAGGCATGGCTCAATTTGATGGATCATGCAATAAAGGAGACCGATCATTCTCAAATAAGCTTGAATCTTGAAGCACAACATCGGTATCTAACTTGGAGAGCCCAAAAGGTGTCATTTTCTTATATTATATTTTAAAGCATATATTTGCTTATAGTGGCTATGAAATGTTATAGAGATATACACAATCTTGTGTTGTGTTTGTTATACAGGACTGGACAATATTTCTAGGGCTATTTTCGATGACAAGGAATAGGAGGGCATTCATGTTTTTTGCACAAACGAAAGATCAAGAGTGAGTCTGTATCCAGCCTTGATCCATCTTTTTGCGTTGAGACAAAAATTTCAAATTTTGTCCCATTGACATCAGTCCCAATCCAATGCGTGCCAAATGCATTGCAACCAAATTTGTCTAGTCTTGTCCTGCGTGAAACGGGGCGGGACGCCCCGTTTGTTAGCAGGACAGGAAAAAACATGACATACTTGCACTGCCTTTGGCTTGCATTTGGATCGAGACTGATGTCAGTAAGACAAAAAATGAAAATTTTGTCTTATGCAAAAAGGTAGAGCAAGGCAGGATAGAGACTCACTCTTGATCTCTCGTTTGTGCAAAAGACGTTAATGCCCTCCTCATCCTCATCATCGAAAATAGCCCTAGAAAGCTTGTCTAGTCCGTTTATCAATTGCACCACCATGGTTTCTTATAATGTCCTTGTTGCTACAATCAGGATCCAGGTTTCCATGTTCTCAAACGATTAATCGGGGAGACTCATGCAAAGGTATCAATCTTCATTAACCCAACTCAATGTAAACTATTATTCTTCGACTTTTGAGGTCAAAATTGTTAATTTTTCGAAAGACTAGTTTGAGCTCTTTTTTTTTCTCTAAATGACATGTAGGATGTGGTAAAGAAGTTCCTCTTTAGTGGAGTTAACGATCTTGGGAACAAAACATTTCTTGATTACTTTCCCGAATATGAAAGCGAGAACGGATCGATAATCGAAAAACGAAGCATCATCGGTAAGTCGTTTGAGAAACGGCCTTGGAATACCCAAGGGGTATTTATTGGTGATACTTTCGGATGAGAGTGAAAAAGTTTTCTAGGGCTATGTACGATAATGAAGATGAGGGTATTCACATCTTTTGCACATACAGAAGATCGATAGTTAATCCCTATCCTACCTTGTTCCACCTTTTTAGGTGGAAAAAGAAAATTACAATTTTGTCACATCCACTCAAGTCTCAGTCCAATGCATACCAAATACAATATAAAGCTGTGTTTTTACTCATTTCATATGTAACAAACATGACATTTGCATCAATGTCACCTAACGTAGTTAAGAATTTTTGTAATGATTTCTCGTGTTGAGAATTTAGGTTGTGATTGTGAATTATGCATGAGTGGAAATACTTCATTTTCATCTTCCTTGTAAAAATAACTCATATTCAATTAAAAGCTTTCTATAGCTCTAATTATGTTCCAAATGAATAATTTGATCTCTCGACTTATGGTTTTTAAAGCTAATCTGTGTCAAAACTTAATGGAGACGAACAAGTTGGTAATTTTAGAATTTACCAAAAGAGGTAATTTACATAAAACATTTTGAATACATAATGATTTGAATACCTAATAATATCAGCATTATAAAACTAAAAAGTAACTAAATCTAGTATTCTCTTGTTCTATACTTGTGACTAAATATATACCAGTTGATATTTGAGTTACAAATATATAAGACAGAAGAATTCCGGCGTATTGTATTGAAATTGAACAAATAATACAAGAGATTATACTGTGCGTTACATAAGCCTCTCTTATACAGTTTTACCAATCAATTTACGCAAAAAATATATATACATCTACTGATGGAAGAGGTTGTCTTTGTATCATTTCATCGAACAGTTTGAGGGCGTCATCAAGCTTAGTAATATTACCAATCATATATCTAGGAGAATCAATCGGTGCTTGACGATTGGAAGAAGCTGAATGAAACGGAGCTAAATTCGGTTTGGGGGGACGGATTCGGGTACCTGATTCTAAAAACGATGAAGGTTTTCTCGAAGGAAAAAGGAAATGGGTAGCTAAATTCGGTTTGGAACATCTTTTCAATAGTCAAGTAACGGGTCATTCTTATCGGGCCGGGCTAGAGCGTTAACCAGGTCGACCCAGGCCCAAATGTTAGGGGTCTAAACAGGAAAGCAGAATTTGCATCGATTCCGACTTTGTCGTGTAGTATTCCAAGTGATCACTGATAATTACACTCAGCAAATATGTTTTTTCACTTTTTCGAAGGAAACATTTTTCTACATTCAAGAATCAATAAACTGAAGACTTTATAGAATCAAGAAAGAATGAAGACTTTTTAGCATAGGGTTTTTAGTTTTGAATACATCCACTATTTTAGAAAATAATAAAACATGTTTGGAAATTTTTTGTAATACGGGGAAATGGAATATTTTCATTTTCTTGAAAAAAAAATATATATCAACTAAACAAGTTTTTAAAATTCTTATCATTCTAAGAAGTTTTCTGAAAACAACTCATTATGGCAACTAAAGGGAGCCTAAATTGTTATATACCAGTAACTATTAAAAATTAAAATCACAAGTTAATAAATAAAAGAGAAATCAAATATCCCTTAACCTTTTAATCCTATTAATATTTCTACTTATTAGATTAAGATAATTGTCAAAATCAAAAGATGAGATTAAGAGAGAGAATGAATGGATTTTGTATGTCATTATTTATGAGTAGGAAGATAAATAGGAACAAAAGATAGAAAGAAATTTAACTTCTCTAAATAAAAATATAATTTTATAAAAAAATGGGTACCATCAGATTTTGTTTCGGTTCCGGTACCAAAAATGGGTAACAGCTCTAGATCGGTTCCTAACTTTAGGAACCAAATCTTGTTCACTTATAGTGATTCCAATTCTGGAACTAAAGATTATATTTCTGAAAGCAAATACTTTGTTTTTATTTGAATGAAATTAAATCTTCCATTCAAAAAAATTGGAAATGAAATATATGCAGTAAAATTCATGATTTATACATCCTTGTTTGCAATTAGACCTAAAGAAATTGTTCCCCATTTTCTATCTTTTTTGGCAAACATTCTAAAAATGGCTTCCCATCTAGTTTCATCGGTTTCTCAAGTAAAGATATCACTGAATTTGTATGGTTGGATGATATTGGACCTCAAATTCAAACTTTTCAATACTAACTCTATCTTTCACTATAAATCTCTCCTCCTTGCTCATCTTCTTCCTCAATGGTTGGTTCATCAATAACTTTCACATAAGTGATACAACATAAACCAACGAGAGAAAAAATAAGAATCAAGTTTATGGTGGTCTCATTCACCCACTTGATGCCCAATGCTCAAAACTTTCAGGATATTGATGATGAGTAATGGATGTAAAACTATGTACACAATAAACCTAATCTTATTGTAATATAAACTCTCAATCTTGATGAGACTTGCAGAAATTGTAACCTACATGACAAACACAGAAATGTAAATCTAATAGGGGTGAGCAGAAACCGAACTGAAACCCAAAAAAACCAAAATAACCGCAAAAACATAAGCCGGATAACCGAAACCGAAACAAAAACCGATGGTGCGGTTTTTAATTTTGAAAAACCGAAAAATTGTGGTGCAGTTCGGTTTTATGTTTAATAACCGCACCAAATTAACCGAAATAACCGCAAACCGCATGATTTAATATATTATTGAAATATTTATAATAATTATATTTATTTGATAAAAATAAATTAGTATAGACAATGTTGAAATTTATCAATTTTATCATCTTATGATTTTTATTGTTTAGTTTTTGGTGCGTAAATGGTTGTTAGTAAATGTTAGACATATTGTTAATTGTTTGAATGAAATAAATTCAATAAAACATAATAAAATGCTAACTTGAAAGAATAAAAATGGACCAAAATTGTGATTTATTTGCAATGAAAATCTAGAAATAAACGAAAGTCAACTAGATTTTTGGTTTTGAGCATGAAAAACCACACCCTTTTAACCGGAAAAACGCACTACCTCATTTTGTGGTTAAAAACTGAAACCGCACCGAAATAACCGAAAAAACGCAAAAATAACTGCAAAACCGAACCGAATCAAAATTGCAATTTTCAGTTTTTTGTTTTAGAAAACTGCAATTTGCGGCTGCGGTTTTATATAAAAATCACACCAAACCGCACCATGCTCACCTCTAAAATCTAATAATGATACTTGTTAGAAGAAACTATCACCAAAAAAAAAAAGTAATTATAGAGAATTAAAAATAAAAACATTATCATTTTCCAACATTCTTAAGTGGTAAACAAACATGTTATAGAAATGTAGCACGAATTTAAACAACAAAACGAAAAACAAAATGTACACCACACTAAACAAACCCATAAACAATCGTTATAACTTTATTATCTTTAAAATTATATTATCAAATGTAACAAAAACTTAAACACCAAAAATTGTTAAGCACATTAAGGTATTGTTTGTATAGGTAAAGGATTTGTAGTCTCTAGACTATACATCAGTAGAATAAGAGGTGCACCAAACATGTGCAGATATAAAAAATACATATCAACTATAATCTCAAATCAATCAAGATCTCCTATACACTTCAATGAAGTTATCGTCACGGTAGATACTCTTAACATATACTTCAATTCACCAAATCTTCACGCCTTTGGTAAATCACAAAAGGTCTTTGTATGCGGATTTGTATTTCCTCGAGTTGTTCAAATGCAAAATCTCTATTGAAGTTTTGCATTCGTGTAAAATTAGCTTCTTTTTTGTTAGATAAATGTTACCATTTTATTTATTCATTTTCTCACTCATTGGCTAATTGTAATGAGCCATCTTTTACCAATTTCAAACTAAGATTATTAAAACGTTCTCTTGAATATTGCCTTGAGGCTTTTCTCCAATCCGTGCCAGCTTTCATCATAGCAGCAAACTCATCATAACTGATGCGTCCATCCTGATGCATTAAAAAAAAATAATAATAAATAAATAAAAAAAGATTAGACAAATTTATCAAAAAAATTAAAAGCAGAAACAGATGGGGATAGATAAGTGGTTTTACATGTGTTTTGAGTGACATTCGGGGGTGTTAAGTAATAGAGTAAATTACACGAATGGTCCCTATGGTTTGGGGTAATTTTTACGTTTGGTCCCTAACTTATTTTTTTTAACTCGAAAGGTTCTTATTGTTTGTTTTTGTTGCGTGCTTGGTCCCTGTCTTACCTAAAAAAACTATTCTACCCTTGATTTTTTAATTTATTTAAATAAACACACCCCAACCCCACTTTCACCTCACCTTACCATACCTTATCTACCCCATCTTATTTAAATAAATTAAAAAATCAATGGCAAAATAATCTTTTTAGGTAAGACACGGACCAAGCACGCAACAAAAACAAACTGTAGAAATCTTCGAGTTAAAAGAATAAGTTAGGGACCAAACGTAAAAATTATCCCAAACCATAGGGACCATTCGTGTAATTTACTCTAAGTAATTAAAAAAAAACATTTGGTTAAAGATGGGGATAGGTTGGTAATTTTACACTTATCTCGATAATCAGTTTTCTTACGACTTCTTGAATGCTTCTCCAAATCATAAATAATTAGATCCGATTATTTTACTTGTAAATCATAAAGAAATAACTATAACTATACATAATAAGATCGTTAATAATTGGAAATATATACTTAATATTATCGATTTATTTCAACAAAAAAAATTTCATATACAACAAATATTAATCTTTTACTAAATGTTTTACCACTTTCTGATCTAAATTATCATCTCTCTCATAAATGTTTAATAAGTGTATTATGAAGTTCACAGTAAGCATCTTAATAGCACATAATGGTAATTAGTTTTACTTAAAAGTAGTTAATGTTGTAATATATTTATTTTTAATCATTATTATAGCTTAGTTAATTTCTTTTTTGTTGGTTATGCATCTTTTAACACATTATATATGTTTTCTTAATTATTTAACAAAAGTTAATTTAAAGATCATATGCTTATTAACAACAATTACGAATTGAGTATTAAAAAATAAATCAATGCAAACGCATTTTAAAGATCACAAGGAGATTTTATAGTATATACAAATATCTTGTGTAAAACACTTTCGACCCTTTATTCATAAGTATCTAACAAACTATGTGAGTAAATCCAAAAGGGTAAAGTAGTCATTCCACCATATAAAATTGATAAAGTGGGTGATTTAGGGAACTAACCTTATCGGTGTCAACATCATGCATTATTGCATTGATTACTCCTTCAGTGTCTTGAACATTCTCATCATCACTCAATGCATGACGCAATTCTTCAAACTCTATATAACCATTTTGATTTTGATCAAAAAATGAAAAAGCTTTGTGTAAGTGTTCATCATTTGCCATTCTTTTTAGATGAACATTCACAGCTACAAACTCTCCATAATTTAGGGCTCCATCTCCATCAACATCAACCTGTGAAATTATAAAAATATTGGAAGTGTTGTTATCAATAAATGATGTTTAAAAGATATTTGTAAAAAGTTTAGAACTTAATGGGAAAAGCCTCATTTACTACATTTCTCTATTAAGTTGCTCTTTATTCATGATCCATAAAGACAAGGGTTAATCTCATAAAAAAAAAAAAAAAAACGTTATATTTTGTGGTTTTTCCGGATTAAACCTCAACTTTATTTTTTTTCTTGAAAAATACCTTGCATTCTTTCAATTTTTTCGATCTGACCCTTTTAGTCATTTTTTTCCAAAGAAACATGTAAAATGTGAGGGTTTTTTCGGAAAAAGATAGAAGGTTGAGGCATTTTTACAGAAAAAAAAAAGGTAAAGTTTAGGGTTTTTTCGGAAAAAAAATGAAAAATACAAAGGTCTTTTTCATAATAAAAATAAAGGTTTAATCCGGAAAAAACACAAAATATAAGGTCTTTTATAAAATTAACCCTAAAGTCTTCAAACAAATTGTATGGATAAAAGATGTTTAAAAAACATTTGAGAGAATGATGACAAACAAGGGTAAATTTGTAAAAAGTTAGGACTTAATAGGGAAAACACACATTACCACATTAAAAAGTGCGATAAAGTCCCAATATTTTGGGCCAGTTTACGGTTTAATCCCACCATTTATTTTTTAAACAAAAAAATTACGATTATTTTATATTTTGCCTAAATTAACGAAACAACCCTTATTTTTTTTAACAGAAAATGACAAATTATTGTATAAAATTTGATAATCGAGACTTTTCTGTTCAAAAAATAAATGTTGGGATTAAACCGTAAACTGATCCAAAATATTGGGACTATATCGAAAATTTCCCTTAAAAAGTATGTCCCTATTAAGTCCATTAAGTAAAAAAGAGTAACAACACCTTAGTCATAATGCTAATAGGATGTGTAAGCATTTTCTTTATTTAAATTTGTTCAACAAAAAATCTTGTTGCATGACATGTGGAAAACTATATGTGTAAGAATTAATCGATAGATATATATAATAAAACTCACGGATTCCATTAATATTTGAAGATCTTCATCATTCATTAGTTGACCAAGTTTGAATAAACCATTTCTAAGTTCTTCAAGATTTATCTTCCCTTTCTTTCCAATATCCATCATATCAAATGTTTCCTTTATGTCAGCCACTTCAACAGCCGATAAATGTTCGGCTATCACCTGCATATGTATATACATCATATTACATTCAATATATTTAATAACAAAAAATATGTGAATATGAAAGTATACATGACATGGATTTTATGTAAATAAAGTAAGATCATGAATCTTACTCTCAAAGCACGTTTCTTGAGCTTGTTCATCACTGAAAACTGTTTAAGCCTTGACCTCACAACCTCTCCCAATGAGACATTTGGAGCCGATTTTGCATTGAATAACCATGGGTGTTCTAAAAACCACAATGTGAAAGCAATAACTATAAGAGAAAATGACAGAAAAACCCTTAAGTTTGCAAGTCTTTTTTTTTTTTTTCAATTTTCCCTTTTTGCAAATTTATCTGGTAAAACTGAAAATTTCTACAAAACTTAAAGGCTTTAATGAACCATAAAACCAAACTTAAGAGGTTTTATGAAACAGATTCAAAAGGGTAAAACCGAACATTTCTGCCAAATGTAAGAGCTTTCACAAACCAAGGGGGTAAAATTGTAAAAAAAAAAAAGTTGCAAAAATCCGGTTTTAATGAACTTAAAATCCGAAAAAGGGTGAAACCGACAAAAACTTGTAAACTTAAGGGTTTTTATGTCATTATCCCTAGCTATAATTAACTCCATATTTCTTTAAAAATATTTGAGAAAAAGTTTTGGAGAAAATTAGGACTTCATGTGTAAAGCCTTTCTTTTTCATCTTTTCTCTATTAAGCTATTCTTTCTGTATTAAGTCATAAAGGAAAATCCATATATAGTTTAGTGGATTAAGTCATGTCCCCATTAAGTCAATTTAGTGAAAAAGGAAAAATTACCAAGAACTTGTTGAGCTGTAAGGCGAAGCTTTGGATCAGGATTAAGCATTTTCTTGACAAGATCTTTGGCATTTTCAGAAACTTTAGGCCATGGATCTCTCTTGAAATCGATTACTGATTTAATAATTGCTTCAGCTACTCCTTGTTCAGTTTCTGAGGAGAAAATATAAGTGAATTATATGATATTAGAATCATTTACGTGTAAGCACTTTTGCATGTAATCATGTATGAAGTATTTGGTTTGCAGAATGAAGGAATTTGAATCGATTAAAGGAATTGGAATCTTTCATATATTGGTTGGCAGGAAACGGAATGGAATTGGTGAGAGGTGAGAGGGATTACTTGTAAGATTCTAAAGGGTATTTTGGGTATTTTTAGCAAGGAAGAAATGATGGGAATTGGATTCCATGTTTGAAATGTTGATATCCACTGGTCAAAGAATTTTGGTAATTCCAATATAATTCAAAGGATTGGAATGGAATTGACAATTCCATTCCAGCAAAATCCCAAGGAATTCACAATCTTCAAAAAAAAAAATTTGTAATCTTTCATATGTTGGTTGGCAGGAAAAGGAATGGAATTGGTGAGAGGTGAAAGGGATTACTTGTAAAATTCTAGCATTCAAAAGGATATTTTGGGTATTTTAAGAAAGGAAGAAATTACAGGAATTGAATACCATGTATCGACACAAAAGAGTATTTTGGTAATTTCGGTATAATTCGAAGGATGGTAATGGAATTGAATTCCATTCCATCCAAATCCCAAGGAAATCACAATCTTCAAAAACAATAATAATAATAATAACAATAAAATAAAACTTGCAAAATGCAAAAATAGAGAACCACACCTGCCCAAAAAGGTGGGACCCCACAAAGCAAAATGTACAAAATTACCCCTGCACTCCATACATCAACCTCAGGGCCATAATTTCGTTTTAGAACTTCTGGAGCCATATACCATGGACTCCCAACTATCTCTTTAAAAACCTCACCTGATTAAAAAAAAAAAAGATCTTTAGAAAAAAAATTCATAATTCATAAAGTATATATGAAATAATGAAACAATTTCCATTTTAAGCATAAATATTAAATACCTGGTTTAAAGAAGATCGATAGCCCAAAATCAATGGTTTTTATAGCAGCAGTTTCTTTCTTATTTGCAAAAAGAAAATTCTCGGGTTTAAGATCTCGATGCATCACTCCATGCATGTGACATATCTAATAAATGAATAGGAATTGAAGTCAATGGAGAGTAATAAGATTGATTGTGTTTCATAGGAATGGAATCAGTTATTCCGTTCCATAATCGGATGTTTGGTTGGTAATTCGTATGTAGGAATGCAATGAATTTTTGTATAACTTTTTTTTAAGGTATATGTAGATGCAATGTGTGGGTTTATTTCTAGTATAGAAATTATTTCATTGTTAATGATGAAATTTTTATTTGTGACATTAAAAAATGAAACATAATGAAAGGTTGTTTTAATAAGACTATTATGAAAAACATATTTTTAAGTTAAACTTTGAAAACAAATTATACTTTGATTGAAATCATGGTTTTTTTTATAAAATGATTGGTGTCATTAAGAATTATATAAATTAAAATGGGTCATGTTGTGGAAAATTTTCTAGTTTTTCATGACAATTTTCAAATGAAAATATCAATTTTGAAAACGCGTTTGGTTGATTCAGTTTTCAAAAATTTTCCAAAAAAATGAAAATTTTCTCTTTCCAAAATATATATAAATTAAAAAAGTGATTTTTACAATGTTCCAAAGTTTTCCAAATTCCTAAGATGGAAAATGAAAACTCTGAAAACCGAAAACGAAAACCCAACTCTATTTTCCGAAAACATTTTCTTAGAAAACGAAAACAGTTTTCCACAACCAAACCCACCCTAAATTTTTCTTTTTCTTGGAAAAATTTTAAAAACCAAATCAACCAAACGCGATTCCAAAATTTTCACTTTCATTTGAAATTTTTCATGGAAAATTTCACAACCAAAAACACTCTACACATTCCTTCAAGAACAAAAAAGTAGGACATTTAGACGCTATAAATTATAATAAACAAACAATTTTTATTTACCTGAACAACTTCCACAATTGTCCTCATAATAGCAGCTGCTGCTCTTTCAGTATAATGTCCTCTTGCCACAATCCTATCAAACAACTCTCCACCTTCACACAACTCCATCACTATATGCACTGCATTATCATCCTCATAACTATCTTTTAATGTCACAATATTCGAATGTTTTGGCAATTTCTTCATTATCTCAACTTCCCTTTTCACATCCTCAATATCTATCGATGTTTTAAGCTTCTTTTTTGATATCGATTTGCACGCGAATTTTTCACCCGTTTCCACATCCGTACACAAATATGTTGTTCCGAATTCACCCCTGCCTAATTCACGTCCAAGATTGTAATTTTCTGAAATGTTATGTCCTGTTGCGTCTTTTAACACTTGAAATTTGATCCCGTTTTCGGCTCGTGGTTTAATGCTATAAGATTCTGAGAACGCGTTTGGTTTTTTGTTTTTCTTCGTCTTCACGTTTTTGTTGTTATTTGAGGTGATGCAACAATTTCCCATGATTTGAATGACAAAATCTTGAATTTTCTGTAAATTGAAGTGTTGATTAGATTATAAATAAATAAGTGGGACCCAAATCATAAAAACTCTATTTTTTCATAAAAATCTTGAATTTTCTGTAAATTGAAGTTACAGAATTTCATTCAATTGCTAAATTGAGAAAAGACACCAAAGAAATCTTGATATTTTCTGTTAGATAATTCAAAATGATAAAATCTTGAAATTCTGTAACTTGAAATCGTAATTATTAATTAAACAAAAACGTAAAACCCAGTTCACGAAATAAGAACTCAGCAAGATAGTTTTTTTTTTTTTAAATAATCTTTCCATAATAAAAGAGTTGATAATATCTTCAAAGTTTTTTTTTTTTTTTCAAAGTCCAGGGACGAAATGTGTAGATTTAGTGAAAAAAATTAAAAAGAAAAAAAATCATGATCTTTAAATTCTGTAAATCGAAAATCAAAATTAAACAATAAACGTAATCAGATCACAGAAATTCTCATCTTTTCATGCTAATGGAGGACTTAATTTCAAAATTTCAAACTACAGAACCCGTATATGAAGATATTAATTAAAATCAAGAAAAACATTAGTTAAAAACAGGGTGAAAATAACAATTTAATCAAAGATAATCTTACAGAACAAAAACAGCACAATACCTCTGAGACGAATCTTCCGAATTGGGTTTTACAAAAGCTTGTTGAAATTGAAATGCGTTAATAAAAAGGGGAGAATGAGGTGAGCAAAAAGTCAAAATGTTAATAAATGGAGGGGTTGTTGGTGGGTTTGTTTTGATAGGTGTTGGATGAATACGCCATGGATTACGATTACATAAGGAGGTTGAGGGAAACAGAGTCAACAATCCCATTTGCAGAGACTTTTCTCTTTCCAATCTTACTTTCCTCCTCGTTGTCTCTTTCCAGATGCTCTGAATTTTTAGGTTTTGACTTATGAAAGTATGGGCCGTGAGACACGGGTTATTAGTTTATGATGGAAATTGGAAACGCCGGGAATTTCGAGTGTGCACGCAATTTCGTCTCCTTCCAAGCAAATTAGGAAAAGGGTTTAAATTTTGAAAATTTTTAATAGATATTATTATTTTTAACCATTTAGATATTTATTTTAGTTTTTTAGAAAAAACTATTATGTTATTTTTGTATATAATAGAATCATTTTATTTCTTGATCATGTCTAAAGTAATGTTTAGTAAGCTAGCATTTATGACTTCCGAAAAAACCAACATGTTATCTTTTTATGTGCGAAAAAACCATTGTGTTATTCTTTTGAACAATAAAAACCATTTTATTTTATGATTTGGTGCAATAAAATTCTTTTATATTATGATTTTGGCACAATAATAAATTATCTTCCATTTTATACCAAGTATTTTTCTTTTGAGAAAAATATGATTGGTAAATTTTTCATTGATTTCATAAATAATTACGTGTTATGAATAATACAAACTAACCCCAAGAGTACTCGATCTCCAACAAAGTTAATGTCAATCTTTATTTGCTTCTTGTGTTGATGTTACACGGGAATCAAGTTCAAGTATACACCATTGGAGCGTTGAATTAGGTGTCTAAGTTCATAACTATAATTGGTATGTACTTGACCCGAGAGTAGCATTATCCATTTGGGTTGCATATCACCAGAATAATTTGATAGGATGGACTTTTGAGAAGCGTTATTTATGATTTGTTAATATATTATAAGTTCTAATATACTAATATGAAATCATGTGATTTAGTTAGTATTGATCAATAATTAATTTGTAATTAATTTTGTGATCAAAATAGACTAATTAAATATAAAGGGTTGATTTGGTAAAATCATTCATTCTTATGGTGTGGGCTAATGATCCATGATTCCTTAGGTTAGGCTAAACCCATGTGACAACTCATGGATGATCCATGGAGGTTTAAACCCCATGGAGCCTAAGGAATATGGAAGGTCATACACATAAGGGTTTACATGGTGTAACCCTAGTTTAGGCATACTATATAAGAAGCCTTTTAGCATCCAAAATGAGACACTAGTGATCTAGGAGTTCATTGAGTCGATTTTGGTGCAAGAAATACTCTCTCAAAAGTCTCCTTTATCCAAAGGTGTGTTGTGATTCCATTTGAGGTGCAACACTTAGGGCACTAAGTTCTTAAAGGCCAAACTCAATAAGTTCTACAAGCTACAACCAAGAGGTAACTCTATGACTTAATTATATGTTGATTATGTCAATTGCATACTAGTTGTAGGCTTAATGCTTTGGAAACAATATTGCATGTATAATTAGAGAAAACATAGATCCAAAGCATTTAGGGTTGTCTGTGCACTATAGGATGTTGTAGTATACTAAAACTCATCAGTGGTATCAGAGCCTAGGATTGTTTTCTATTATATTTTATGCAAATGTAATTTTCAAAGTTAAAAAATCGATTTTTTTTTTTTTTTTTTTTTTTTTTTTTTTTTTGCATTCGCCGAGTCCACTGGGGGACTCGTCGAGTCCACTCAGAAAAAAGTCCAACTCGACGAGTCCAGTTCATGTACTCGCCGAGTTGGTGCTTCAGTTGGCATTTTTCGAGTTTTTTTTGGCCTGTTTTGGATTAGAATCATTACGACAAAATGTGTTAGTTCATAAAATCTTATTTTGTTGATATGGTAATGATGATTCTCATCCAAATAAAAGATAATTGTCAAAGTTCCATGATTTGTATTAGTTTATATGATTAGGATAATTTCTTGAAACTTGTTTGATATGAATTATCTTAACTTATGAGTTTAATTAGATCATAGGCAACTTGTTTGGTTCTGTTAGTCGGAATTTTTGATCTAATTGCTTTTGGTGAAATCTATAACTTGTCCTCAAGTTATGGAAAATGAAGGGTCTCATTTTTAAATGTCATCTTAAATGGTTTTAAGTCTTCCATAACTTGTCCTCAAGTTATGGAACTTGAAGAGTCTTTTACATAAATGTTTTATGAACTCCATAACCTGTCCTCAAGTTATAGAATGTCACGAGTCTTTTCGTAAAACATATATTAAACTCATATATGGATACCAAAATTTTTTAATAGTTTAAAACGTGCCCTCAAGTTTTAGAATTTGTAAATGCAAAGTCTCACTTTGAAACATTTAGTTCCAAACCCTAGAATTTTAAAAGTATAAAATTCAACCCTTATACTATTACAATATTATAGGTTTAATATATATATATATATATATATATATATATATATATATATATATATATATATGTATGTATATATGTGTGTGTGTGTGTATGTATGTATGTATAAGAGTAAAGTCAGTCTTACCATTAGTAGGCCTCAATCACGAAGTCGGTCTACAAGGGGGTATAAGGTTACTGCTTATAAAATGGCAATTTGATGGGTGTCCACTCTCACCCACCGCCTCCTTGACTGGTGGAGGGTCGTTAGTCGAACGGGTTTGACATGACATTTAAATTCCCATTTAAAGTATAATGAAATACTAAGTAACTAAACACTTATAAATTCCCAATCTTAGTTACTTAGGAAAATGTGAATTTGGTTCTAACATGTGAAATTGCACTTTACACCTTGTTAAGTCGTTAGTGGAGCATGTGTGGTTAACCGGCACATTAATCTTGGATTGACAGTGTGTGGCAAAGGGTAACTTGATGTTAATCATAGACCAATAGAGCGTGTATGGTTAACCGACACATTGATTAGGTGGTTGTAACATTGAGTGTACCAAGCTAATTTGTATGGTTATTCACACCTTGTTTGTGATCCTCGGCATCCTAGTCACAAACTTGAAAGGCACAATCAAGATTTAAACATGCCATTGAAAAGTTCAATGAATCTCAAAAGATCTAGGAATTTCAATCCATTTAAAACCTAATGATGAATTTCGTTTTTCATGGTAGAATTTGGTAAATCGTTATTTACCTACCTTCAAATATTTTGCATTCAGATTACGACATCCCTCTTCCGAATTGTAAAATATTGTGTTGGGTCCTTGTCACACTCCAAATCAGGTATGACCTTGTAGCCCTTGAAGTATTTCAAATATAACATATGAGACCCTTAAGTATGTTGGGCGTACTTATGAGTACGCTTAGCGTACTTGGCAAGGAGGATCGCAGAGGGGCAGCAAGTACACTAAGCGTACTTGCCGGATGTTCAAACCCTAAAATCCGGACTTGAGACCTATATAAAGACCCTTAACTCTTTTGAGCCTCACCCTTTAAGCCTCTCTCCACTAAAACACTCCTTTAAGCCTTTCTAAACCCTTCGAAGTCCCAGGGTACCCCCTTACCACATGAAGCAAGCCCCGAAGTCCCGATTTCCTCAATTTTAAGCTGAAACTCTGCCCGAGTGAAGCCGACTTTTCATCAAAAACTCTCAGTTACATTAAGAAAAGTCATTTCTAAGAAACGAAACGCTACCCGAATCACCACCTATCAAGTGAGTTCATACCCCCGTATTTTCATAGTTTTTACGGTTTTAAAGGGGGGGGGGGGGGGAATACAAGTGAAACATAATAAAATTGTGTTAATATCATAAAAGTTTTCAAATGTTTTTAATACTGTTAAATTGTTATAATTGATAAAATTACATATTTATATATGTGTAAATTATATAATTTGGATTCAGAAGATTCAGAATATGTAATTTGACCTCATTTCCTGTTCCTTGTTTAGTTGTGGGCTTGGGTTAAATTTATTTAATCGAATGTATAATTAATCACTATTATATAAATATAAAATGGTTTACAAACTATTTGATAATACATAGGTACAACAGAGAATTTCATGGAATAACAATATTACATATTCTTACAATAAAACAAATAGCTAAACTATAATAGGTATAGTTTAGAGGACTCACATTGGTTTCAGGTTTCAAGTTTCAAAATACATAACAGGAAAACTAACATAGTACATAAGAGAATACAAATAGAATACATGATGGAAAACAAGCAGAGAACATTATCAGAAAACAAACTGAATACTTTACTAAGAAACAAACATATAAAACTATATTTTATATAGTTTATGAAACTTATTTTCAGTATTGTTATTACAAGGTAACTTTTTATTCTACATGTAATCATCGATATAGCACTTGTGAGACACACTTCAAGTACTTATTTAAGTATAAAACAAAATTCCTGAAAATTATAACTAGAGTCTCCTTGTGTGAGAGCATGACATTTGTGTATAGATCTATACGGGACTGATAATCCCGCACTTAAGCTGCTTGCAACAGCTAGGCCGGCAGGCCTGGGGTGACAATTGTCATACCATATTTCGACGCCCGGAGAACGTCGTGTTTTAGGCGATCCTAGGTCATCAAGCATGGTTATGATAACTCACAATTTGGTATTGAAAAAAATGATTTTTGTATGAATAAGTGACGCTTCACATAGTTTTATTAAATTATAAAACTACAATACAATATCTTACAAGTATAAACATGTTATACTATTTCAGTTTAGAGAAAACATATTTTTCATGACTTTATAAGAACTAAACTACATTTTACAAGTTGTTGCTACAAAAATCATTATACATCTTGCTTACAGTATAACATAGCAGAAAATATAGGATTTTCTGATAAAAACATGTTCACTTTGTCAATACACAAGAAAACATATTTCTAGTAGCATACTTATGAACTCACCAACTTAATTGTTGACACATTTTCAAAAACTAATTGTATTCTTAGGGAAACAGTGATACAGGTATAGCCACAACTTTTTGAGAAGACAGAGATCTATAAACTCATGTCTTTTAAACTTGTACTTTTGAGTTCATATACATTATGTTTTGAACACAGTTGTAAAACTTATAACTTTGTAAATACAATGGTTGTTGTTGTACTTTGATTACTATTGTGCATTGTTGTGATATTACATGAAGTCCTCCAGCTTCAAATGTTTCTGCCATTCCGGTTGGGGGTGTGTGATGTGCACAAAAGTACCCATTAATTTTAATATTTATAACCTAACAAACTTAGACTAACTATGCACTTATAGG